TCACTACAAGTAAGTTCGTTTGATCAAATATTGCATAAACTGACCACTGCACGATCATAAATATCGATCGTCAACTGAACGTTTGACAGCTAAGAATAGTTTGTATGGGAAAATCAAATTGTCGTTTTTAGTATTATACTCTCAATTTTGTCATATTTTCTCATCGTTTAAACCTGCCCAGGACCTGCACGAATATTTCAAGACTAAAATTTGTCAAATCGGTTCAGCCATTCTAAAGTTTTAGCGAGACTAACGAACGGAAATTCATTTTTATTTATATAGATTTTAAAGCACCTCTACCTACAATATTGATAAAATGGCAATAAACCTTTGCGTAAACCCTGCAGAATCATTTAGATCCATATAATTATATTTACGTTATTTCTATTTTAATTTGGTCTATACCACGACGTTTTAATAAGATAATTTGGCAAGTAGTAGAGGAATTTTAAGCACTCAATAAAATTACGTAAAACGTTAAATATATTCAGGTTTATATTAATTTAACAAATCACAGTTACCTAACAACTGCGTTATTTACTGCCATTGTTTTGTTTGGAACATTCATTTTGCAAACGAATTGTTAGCAGTATTGCAGTACAACACGCGATGTTGTGCCTTTAAATAGGCACTTAGTTAATTTCGTTCAAATATTTTTGGATAAAATATCTAGATTTATTTCTAATCAATTGTTATAGAAATTATTTCTAAGGTACCAACAATTTTTCAATTATTTAATTGGTAATTTAATTTCCACCATAGAACTATTATTTTTACTACATTTTGATAGTCCATTGGAAGAATGAGAGATTCAATTTCTAGGGATGATTGAATAACGTACTATATTTAAATTAAAATTGAACGTTTTTGAGAAATTCAAAATATGCAATAAGTTTTATAGTAAACTTAAGAATTTTTAAATAAAAAATCATTTGAAAAATCCAAAAAAAGGGAAATAAAAAATAAACTAAATATTTACTTATATTGGATTAGTATAATATTTACCTATTATGGAGTAAGCCTAATTTTAATAGGCTTTTTAAAGTACTTATTAAAAATACCTTACATTTGTATCACAAGAAATATTTAGATTGATGATAACGAAATTATTTTATTGACATTATTTTAATTTAAATATATTAATGTCAATTACTAATAATAGAGCAAGGTCACCGAATATATTATATACTTAATCCCTAATATAGCATATCAAAATTATTTTTTAAATTATTCCTAATAAAATTTTAAATTATCAATAAGTTCAGGAAATTTACGTTCGTTTTACGGATTCACTTGGCTTATTTAGAAGTGTATTAACATTTCTATAAAGTATAATTTAGAAAGTAATTTCAGTATTCCATCTTGGTTGCTTTGCTTTAATACCTACAACTGTATAATATGTAGATCATTATTGAAAAACTATGTTGTAGTTAAAGTTTATCAATTAGTACCTCAAAAGTGTGTCACCTACGTATTAAAGCTCGATAAAATCATGTCCACGTGATATTCGACAGAAGGTAAACCGAATCTATTATTCATAAATTATCATGTCTTTGTGATCAATTTTTTTACGAGTAGGTACTTTTCAATAAATGTCTAAGGGAAAACGCAAAAATATATTTATCGAAAATCTTACGCGAATTGAAAGACAAAAGATATAAATTTATACGGAGAGATAAAACGCAAAAATATTTTTTTTTATGCGGTGGTTAAGGCGTGTATTTTATAGATATATTGGTAGGTATTGTTAATTTATATTACACATTTTGTTTACAAACTTTGGAAAAAAATTCTGAAATATTTTAACAATAAAATTACTCCATTGATTTGTAGTAATTTTATCGACAGGAAAAGGGGAATTGTAATGACGACAAAGGTGACAGTTCTATCACCATTAAATAAAAACAATATAATTTATTTATTTCCTTACAAAATTTATTCCATAAACATTTGAGAATCACCGAGTAAGGTAAGATCCCGAATACAGAACGTGCATTTTATGTAAACAGGAAACTTATCTATTACTAATCCGTATCCAAAGAAGTTAATTAGCTGTAAATATTTTGTTCAAGTTAATTGACCTAAAATCCCCCTTTTTTGATCACATTATCCTGTGACATGCGAACAATTAATAACGCTTTCAGCAAAATGGCAGTCACTGAAACCGAGTCATCATGCTTATAAGTAAAATTAATATAATGCAGACAAGTGCGGATCGGAAAGATTCCACGCTAATGATATACTGTCACGACACTCCTATTCTGTGTCATTCATTAGTTTAGTAGTAGGTATATACACAATTTATCTGAGATGTTGATATTGGTAATGTTAATAAAGGACTCGTCACGCGATTTAATGTGTTGCAGAATATACTGACGATTATTTGATTTAAAATATCATTAATAATAGGAAATATGCCAATACACAAAAAATCTTAATTAATACACTCGGATCTGCCTCGTAAATTCGGTCGGTGAAAATCGCATGAAGTTTGGTAGTTATTTATTGCGTTCAAAGATACAGACTCGAAGTGGAAGTATTTGTTTAAAATCATATTTTAATGTGTGCTATAATTTTACATAGACTTTTGAAATCGATTAAAAGCTAACTTGAGGGTAATGACATGAAATGAATTTTTAAAGTAAAAAATATTGCTATGATAATAACAATAGATTTAGCTTTATAGATAATGTAATAATTATAGAGAAGAAAGGAATCATAGTATTTTGTATCAACAAATAAAGTCCAAATAGTAAAAAAATATTAAAAACGAAAATATTAGGTACTTTTCTCTAAAAAAAAAACACAATCTTATCTCTAAAATTCATTTTTATTCGGTTTTTTCTCTTAATTATACTCTTAATATATAGGGAAAATTGATAAATATGTTGTTTGTGAGTTATTAATTGAAAACTGTTTTCCGCGCAATTCTGTCTCTATCTATTTCATTACCTCAATGACATACACTTGATTTTACGCCCAGTTTTAACTCAAATAATCAAATAAAGAAAACAGCGGTTTTTGTTGAGTGTTCAAGTCAATTATTGCACAGTTTGTTGTTGTTTTATCTTTTTATCGCTCCTTAGGCGAGGTTTTGTGAAATTACCACTTTTTAAACCAATTTTATTCTAAGGCTAAAAATATTTTTATATGGCAAATATTATAAATATTATAATAATTTAAAAATAATTTTATGACAATAAAACATATAGTCAAGTGTTTGCAAAAAAACTCACAATGATGACTCGAAATAGGTTTTTGGGATCCATTTTACGACTGATGTTTCATCTTAACTAAACAAAAATTACATATAAAAATAGGTTTTGATTTAGTCTAAAACTGCATTTACTTATTTATGTTATTAAAAATATATGAAATCAAGAGAGCGTATACGTATTTATGAGGGAACATATAGAGGTTAGGCCTTTTGTACCTACCTTTTATCTTACCATAGCAACCCTAAAAGGGGTTTGTGAAGTATATTTTGTCAGATATTTATTGAGGTGTGATCGTGGGTATATCATATATTTTATTATAAATTTTTTATGTATATGTAAGTTTATATTATGAAATTATGTGTATGGAATTGTATGTTTTATAATTGGGTACTACATGATTATCGCTGTTTTTAATTTCTTTTATTTTGATTTGACCCAAGCAGGGCGAAACCACACCACCTAAGAGGGCCAACTGAAAAGCGACGGACAGTTAATTGCAGCGCATGTCGAGTGGGCACCTTTTGGAAACCACATCGGATGCACTCTATAATTTAATATTAATTTATTAATGTCTATTGCAAAATTGCATGTGTGTGTTCAGTAAATGATTTCTATTCTATTCTATATAAAAAGTGTAGCTATATAAATAAAGGTATTGTTATCATAAGTTTTCTGTACTATAAATAAAATAAGCATTAACTTTATATACACCCATAATCATTTTTATATGATTTTATGAGGCTCTTCGGACCGCTTGTGACGCATTCAGGGACCAGCAGTGGTTAAAACGATTAATTCCACTATATTCACATGGGTGTTCAAATTCCACGTTTTTGTGCCCTCAAATCACCTACAGGCAAATCACATGGGTGACCAAAGTCCACACCACTGGTATAGTGTATTTTATTGTTAGTAGATGGAATAAAAGCAGGCACGTGCGACTCGGACTCGCGCACTTAGGGTTCCGCACCGAAAATCAAGTTTGATGTATGGGAGTCCACTTAAATATTACTTTATTAATTTTTTAAGTGTTTGTTACTGAAATTCATGAGATAGTCTGGTGACAGACAGACAGCGAAGTCTTAGTAATACAGTTCTTGTTTTACCCTTTGGATAAGGAACTCTAATGAAGCATCAGGTTTTCTTTTAGCTCAAACAATCGATACAGGATAATTACTATATTCTAAGGAAACAAGGTAAACTAAGAACAAAATATATAACATATATATTATGATAACTAATAATAGTTTTTAGTCGCAATAAATATGTAGCTATAAAATTCATAGGTATTTAAGAGTTATCGGTGTTATTACAGAATAATTAGTCTTATAGTAGTAACGCACAAAATAGCCAGAATCCAATACTCATAATAAGGTAAATAAAATATATTAAGTTCAATATGAATGTTTAATATAAATCATTGATGGCGCAGGTTAGGCGCTTTTGGTACGTTAGGCGACTTTCGCAAGTGCCGGTCATATGATGGGTGATCGAAAAATTACTATCTCGAGTGCCTCCATGTTTCAGAAGGGTCGATAAGCCATGTTGTCTCGGCTATATGTGCAGTCTTTTGACCCATTCTCAATATTTGATTAGATCCAAAGGGAAGGCCTCAGCAGTGAGAATATGGCTGATAACGATAATAATGTTCTTCAACCTTATTACAATTAAGTAAACACTCAATAGTGTCTAGCGGGAAAACGTCGATGGAGCCGACCGCGTGTCTTTGAACTTTTGTTATTGTATTGTAACACATTATTCATCAAAATAGTTTTTACTCACCCCACAGACTACAAATACGAGAACGAATCCGAGGAAGAACTCGATGCCGAAAGCTTGTGGCAGTGTGACGTCAGTGCCGGGACCGGTGACGCCCAATGAGCCAGCCGCACGGTCCGGTGTGAACGCCTTTAGCAGTCCGGAGCCGGCCGCTGCGCCCGCGCACTGCGCTATCACGTATAGAACAGCACGTACTGGCTTCACGCGACCAGTCGCCGCCATGCCTGCTGTTACAGCCGGGTTGATGTGTCCACCAGATACATGACCTATCGCCTGTTAATAACATATATCGACTGTAGTAATCAGAGGCGGATTCCAGTCGCCCATTTTTAGCTCCATATGAATTTTGTTCGGTGACGTAGTGAATAAGCGCCGAGCGCCGTGGTCTGCGATCATTGTAGTTAAGCATAGGTCGGTCACGGGATGAGTTACCAAAGAAATAAAATCTCACGCTACTCCGTGCCTCAGAAGACACCTTAAACCATTGGTTCCAATTCCCGGATGTGGCTGGCAGTCGTTAATACCCTCCAATCTACATTGGACCAGCGGGGAGGATCATGGCCCATCCTCCTCAACCATACACAAGGAAGGCCTGAGCCCCTGCTGTGGGGACGTAAAAGGGCGGATGATTACGATGATGATGATATGAATTTACTTTCATGGCAATCTTTCTTAAAATAGATTCAAAATAATGAGAAATGTGGATAACTTCCAAAAAATATAATCCTAGTTTTTATTTAAAATTCTCAAAATTCTCTACTCATTCCTCGTATTGACAAATTTTCTATAAACCTAATCGGTTAATACAGTGATATAGAAATGAACCCTTTTTAGTTCTTTAGTGTCATTTATCACGGCGTGAAGGACAAGGCTATATCAAGCCATGGATAATAATGTATTAGACATGTTACTTTCTAAATGTAGTAGTAATATTATAGTATATCAACAAAAAAGTACGTAAAAATTAGCGAATGTAAGTTATATAGGTACCTTAAAAGGCTACAGTGTATCATAAATAAAATATTTTCTATTAGATATTATGGCAGCTAGTGGCAATTGTAAATAAAGTAAGCGATACGCAATGAAAATATTGTTATCTACTTAGTTACTTATGAATTTATGTCATTTGTGTTTAATCTCTTTTTATGTGATTAGTATGCGGGTTTACATTGCTTTACTTAGGTAGGCCGTGTATGTGTGATTTGCGTCTTATAATACAAAATACAAAAAGTACATGATACTTTTAATTCTATAGGGACAAATGTTTTCATTACTTATTAATAAATTATTATTAAATTTATTGTTAAATCCAACAACTTAGGTACCTACATACTGTAGTTTCTTTACAATTAATAACGTCGTCTTATTAATTGTAAAGGTGTCATTAATTTTTCATTTTTTTTCGGAAATCTTGACGATAATTACCTATGAAAGGTTATTAGGTTAATGATGAGTCATACAACAATGGTAAATAGAGTTGTACAACCTAAAACGTTTCCTGAATAAGAAATGAACCAATATATAAGTAAGTTCCTACACAGAGCGCTTTAAGCAAACAAAATCGTAAAGTCGCAATGATATTTAGATGGGTCAAAAAGTAAGCTTAATAAAAATTGCGCAGTGATCAGAACTTTTGGTTTACTATGTGGAATTTAAGTTACTTATACAAAGTTTGTTAGTACAACTTAAAGAATTTAAGTTACAGGTGGTTATAGGATGCGTGACCGAACATTTATTATTTCAAACTCCTCCGCATTTCGGAAGGCATTTGCAGTTGTTTATATTCACCAATCCGCATTGGGTCCGCGTGGTGGGTCATGGCCTACTCTCCCTATTCTATTCCATTAGATTACCAATTTTATTTACCAATTTAATTTTTAATCATTATCAGATATTGGCTGATAATGATTAAAAATTATCTCATAATCATGTAATTTTCGTATTGTAGATACTACGATTCTGAATGATGGTGTGTACCATTAAGTTACAAAGCAGTTATTATAACGCTTGTATACAGTCCTTGTGGTTAGTTATGTAACGTAATGACTCGTTAATAACTCTGTTACGCAGCAATGATATAAAGTTGATGGATATGTTATCTATGAGATCAAAAATTTTATTATAATATTTAAATGTAGAGATAGTAGCTAAAATTGTTGGATGAACGTGGATAAAATTTCGTTTTTTAAGATAAATTTTGAAGGTTAGAGACTGATTCATTTTTGTTATTAAATATAATGATAATTATATTTGTCAAAATATAATGAAAGATGTTAATTATAAAGTCCCACCATCCCCACCATAAAGAGGTTATAAAGTATAATTATATATTTCTAGAAAATATGATTCGATTTCTATAAATAATCAAACAAATGTCATTGCGTAATTCGTTAAAATAATTTAAGACCATATTCTACTAATTAATTTACATTTGTATTTTAATGCTAAATAATATAATATTCGCCGCCAATGAATATATTCATGTTAAAAGCTGGTAAGTAACTAGGTAACTTACCGATACAGCAGCGAATACAGCGAGTCCGAAGGCGAGTGAGATAAGCACGATATCTGGAGCTGCAGTGGAGCCCTGGGTGATATTGATACACGCACCGCACCCGAAGAGATTCAGGAGGAGATTACCTGTACATTACACGACAATATTAGTATGTAATCTCTGAATTCAGCCGTTTTATTACAAACAAACTTCTACCTGTTTTCTTGTGATCTCGCCCGCGTAAATTAGAGAATATCAATCGCGTAATTGTAAAAATTCTTTCACCCACGGGAAGTGATGTATTAGATTTTTTACAAATGGTCCAGTTCCGGAGTCATTTCGATGCAAACATACACCTTTTTATAATATAAGTTTAGATAGATAAAGCACACAAGTAATAATAGGTAGAAACATTTATTTTGTTGTTTTCCTTTGCAAGTGTATTGAAGCTGATAGAATTTAAAATGTTATTTAAATTTTTAGATTACATATCCTAATTTGTCAAAACAGATCTGCAAAATAAAATAAAAGATTATATTGCTTGTAAACGGAAAAGAGCGGCTAAAGGTTTATCATTTTGGCATTAAGGTATGTTTTCTAAAACATTGCAAATTTTACTTCTGATTTCTTATTCTGATTTCTCTATATCATCATCGTTATAAGGCTATTGATGTCCCCAATGCTGGGACAGGCTTTCCCATGGATAGGTTTGAATAGATCGGCCCATGACATTAGATGCAGGCAGGATCAAATGACTTTATATATATGTAGACTTATAAGGAGAGGCTATACGAAGTTACCACTGTCTAAACCAATTCCATTCTAAGGTTTTGCTAATATTTTCCAAATAAAATTCATTTTATGAAAATTAATCGTATGGTCGATTGATTGCAAAAAACCGAAACTTAAATTTCAATTAATGACTATTGAAATATATCACTAAGATGACTCTAAACAGGTTTTTTGGATTGGTTTTACGACTAATATATTTCATCTTAACTATATAAAAATAGGTTTTCATACAATCTATGATCAAAAGATTTTTTATTACTGCGTTTGTTTTTCCTGTGATTATAAATGTATGAAATCAAGCGAGCGCGTCGTTACTCTCGATGCGTATCAGTTTGTATTAGAACGTAAGCGGAGGTACAAGATGCCCTTAAATGGAAAAAATGCTGTATTTTTTTACTGACCAATGAATTCAGCGAGTAAGGCTTTACTGATACTCGCGGCGCCACCGGCGAGCTCGTCCAGTCCCAATTTCGTTCCAAGTTCACCCATGTTTCTGTTGACAATAAAATAAATATCGTTACGAATGTTAAAAATATTTAGACATTAACAAAGCTTAGCGAACTGCCTATACCTATTATATGACCGACCTTGAATGTTATAACAAAGTAACTATAGCAAGTGAATTTTATCTATACAATTTCGCCACAAAAGTAACAGAAAATCTTAAAAAATAACATTGTTTAGAATTTATTGAAAACGTATAAATAGAAGCATTACCTATAGCTTTTCGAATTCTGTTTTAATAACGCAATGACAATTCTGTTTACATTCAGATAGAGAATTTGACCGGGAAAATCATCTTCATTAAAAAGCATCGGATATTGTTTTTTAACGTGAAATGTGGTTAAAGAAAACATGATAAAACTAACCAACGTATATTTAACTATTTAGCTGTTTTTCCGCGATTTCGCCCGCGTAAATTCTAACCTATAGCAACCGAATATGATGTAGCTTCCCAAAGGAAAAATAATTTTAATGATCTGATCAGTATTCCTAAGATAGAAGATGAATAACACCAACAAAAATAGTTATAAGCATTACCTCTTTGTTATATTAACATAGATATTTATTTTAGGAATGCAAGTTTTGTGTTTTTTCGAATACGCATGTTAACCATTCTGATGTCCACGCTGATAACCCTTTCAAATGTAACATGTAAATGATTCAATATTAAAACAGAGAAGGGTCATTTTTATTATAGAACAATAGGACCCTTGTAACGTAAAAAATCATTCATACCTACGCACTGTTAGTTCGTTAGATCAGATAACAATTTTGTATGCTTACGTATATAATTGTAACCGATATAAGGCAGCATTAAATATAGTAAAACAATAATTATCTATGCATAATAAGAAAAATATATTTCATGAAAATCTTAATAATTTGCTAAATATAACACATATTTAAGAATATTAACACAAGATACCAATTTACGTTGCCAAATCTACGGTGGTGACAAGAGCATTGTTTTTTTCTCTTCCTATTTTGTTTCATACAGAATTATCATTTATTTTTAGAGTATTAAGTGTTTAATTATGATGTGTTATCCATTTTACTGTCTTTTTCATTATTCTTTGATGCATAAGTTAAAATAGAGTTGCATTGTGACAGCGTAGAGCTTCATTTAATTATATAAAACCTTTATTACCGTTTGAAGTTGGTTTAATTTGAATAAATCTCTATGCTATAAGAGCGCTACGCTCAACGTCGCGTTTGAGGCTGTTTTTATAACATAATAGCATGTACTGAACATCAGAAGCGGAGTAGTCTTGTAAGTTTGTTACAAGACTCCGCTTAAGACCAAAGTTTTTGTCTTTGATCTTTAACATCATTTCTTTTTATTGTTAATTTTTCGTAATCTGAAATTTTGAGTAATGCTATATGCTCTTTTTGAATGTCAGTTCGTAAAATGATTCTTCCGGCAATAACACGATCATCATTGAAAATTAATAAAATATTTTTAGTGTGTACATTTAATATCTATAATCTATATAATTTATTAATTTTATTTATGAAGTGTACGTAATTTGCATCGTATGTTCTAGATAAACCTAAGAACTACTACTTATCATATTTGTAGAAATTCATACGAACTGTTTTTATATTATTTTTTGTTTGTTGTAACAGTTTTTTATTTAGACTGTAATAAATGAATATACCAACTTATCAAGCCTAGTCAGCCGTTTCATATTACAACCATCGAACCCGTCACAGTCTGATTTAGTCAATATAGTTGGTTCAATCGATTTATTTTCTCGAGTACTTTTTAGTTTCATATAATGAGAGCTGCCAACATATCTTATTACTTCAATCAAGTAACAAAAGAGATCATAATTCATTATTACGTAATATGGAAATGATAATGATCGTGATCCGAAATTACTCTAATTATTTACTTGACGTCCTCTTTGTATACGGTCCGTTTGCTCCGATACAATCCACGGGAAACGGAGAAAGCTTCCGGGCTTTTAGTGACAATGACCTGTTAACGATCGCACCAATTTAAAGCGCGTCCATTTTCCATTAATCAATTATTTATTATGTTTCTTGTGAAAATTGTGTTAAATTGTTTTGAAAACCCCCAATAAATACTTACATTTTACGTAATTCATTACCGTATTTACGCAGTGACTAATATGTGTTTTTATAACGCAATGAAATAGCAGTTCCAATACGATTACAATGGTTATACAAAAATACAAAACTCGATCGCTTTTTAAGGATTAGTAGTTGACGTCTAAGGAATGTTAAAAATAGATAATATTATTGGCATTTACGTTTTCATTCAATCGGATAATTTTATAATACTTTGATAAACCGTAGCTCTTATATACCTTGCAGATTCTTAGATATTATTTATTGAAGACGTATTAAAGTGACGTTTGATAACAATACTGTTGACGACAATTTTGCCAACCTCTTTGAATAAGTGTTTTCCACTAGGAGGCTCAGGCACGTGGTTATACTTTCAGCATATAAATCTTCCTCTAGAATCACTCTGTATATTGATGAAAACCGCACCAACATCCGTTAGAGTAGTTTTTTTTTATTAATTTGGCTACATCCAGTTGGGTATAAGCCATGTCATATATTAAAGGTAGGGAAACAGATACGAAAGGAACTCGTAAATTTGTAGTTAGGACTTAGGATGGATAATGGATAATAAATTGACGTAATATATACATTATTTTAAAAGATCTCAGCATATACACAGCAGGAACCGACGTAATTTTATATGTGGACTTTTGTCACATTTTATTGCTGTCTTATATTATGGTTGTATATAACATAGTTGTGTGTTTGTATGTATTTTGAAATATGTACATCTTTTTCTTGCTTTGTTTATCTTTAATTCTATAACTCTACAGTTCACGCATAAATATGCTGTCGTTTACGAATATCTTGAAATATTCGTTTATTGAATGCATTGAAATGTCATCTTGTAGGTACTTCGGTATTTTCATCGGATAAGTTAAATCTCACTAGTCAGATGCCTTGTTTGGCAGATCTCTTATTTTAAACCTCTGAGACCTTCAAACGCGCTGAAGGCGTAGTGTAAGCAAGAATGATTATATATTTTTAAGTTTCTTGAGTGCGAGTAGCTTGTTGTCCATGACCGAGTCATAATATAGTTGCAATGCCCATGGAGCTTTCCATATTTGCTTTACAATGAGCTTTGTTAATAAAACCTATTTTAAGAATAGGACATTAAATTTTAACATTGAAATATATAATTAAAACCAAGTTGAAACTATTTATTCAGAATCAATAAAAATAATACAATTAGTTGAGATGATGAGTGGGTATAAGCCGTAGAATAAATAATTGATAGTGAAAAACTCCGAAACGTCAATAAAACTAAATACAAATGCGATGAAACTGTTCAAATTGTTTTATTTATGGATAGCGCGCGTGTAAATATAAGAAATTAATCGCTATTTGGTAGTAGAATCTTATTAGTTTTAATTAATTGGCTTTGATTGTGTGATGACAAGTATGCTAGATAATAAAAATTCAGTTGCGATAACTCTGCCAAAGTGCGTATTCAGATAAAATATTGTTATCAGATATTCGATCACCAAAATGCCCTTTTTATTGATTTTTCGATAGCGTTATCAATGCCACAATTAATTCCCGAATACGACGATAACGATTATAGAATTATGTTGTAACTCTACAAAAATACTTCATGATGAGTACTATATTATGGAATTTGTGATACCGATTGCTGTATTATATTTAATATTTTCGCAGAATTAACCATAAAGGTATTAATTTCGAAATGTAAATTGGGATTAAAAGTATAGCCAAATACAAAAGATTATTTGCAATGTGTTTTGCAAGTTTATTACTGGATGTTTTCCTGCGACTTCGCTCGCGTACCTAAATTATAGCTATATCAGCTATGTATGATGTATCTTTCCGTAGGTGAAGGAATTCTTAAAATCACTTCAGTAATTTTGAAATCAATTCAATACAAACAAACAATAAAACGATCTTTATAATATTAGTATATTTTCTGTTTATAAGACTAATGTAGGCGAAATATTTCCTTCAAAATCTATTAGGATTATTATCCTGTAATGTTTCCTGGGGGCCAATTCTACTAATTTACAACGATCGATCATCAATAGCGTTTCTGTAACGGTTACGTTTCGATTTTTGCTGTAAATTTGCATTCCGCTAACGTAAATTATCAAACGAACGTTTACTAAACTGAAACGTAATCGGAGCCAAATCGCAGCCGAACCAAACAGCTGTCATTAGTGTTACCAGAATAAAATAAATGAAATTATTAGTTAAACGGGAGACGATTAATGATTATTCATTCCTTCATTTTTTATCATTTCTGTACGTAATGAATCTATTATATTCTTATTCGAACGTTTTAAAATACGGACGAAACACCCGAATATTAGCTACATTAAGAAAGTGCATACCTAAGTGTTAAGCTATAAGGGAAAATACCCAAAACGCGAATTTATAATTAATATTTTTATCATTATGGGTATTTGACACTATAAAAATAAGTTTCGTACTATTATCATCATGTTAGATAATAATCTAATAAAAGTTTATTTCTTAGAATCTGTAGATTTAAACAATTATATTCATAGAAAATAGAACAGATTCTCATGTAATATATTGACAGTGTGTTTATAATGTATCAAACAACTATTTTAATTAATTAGTTTTCAGAAAATCGTCATATACCCAATTCTAACTTTTATTAAGCACTCAACTTTAAACATGCTTAATATTTAAAGCATAAATCCGATATAATTAAGTCTTTTAATTAACAAAAAAGTCAGATGAAATACTATAAATCCTGGCGTCGACTAAAGATAACGTCAAGCTTAAAGAGTTAAGTTTCAAAATTCGAATGGTGTTGGTTTATTTTATTGTTTATACCGAGTTTTAATTCGCAAAATAAATGTTATTATGTGAGATAAAGTAGCATGAAAGTGAATAATATGATTCCGTAA